CCGCCCACAATAAATCATAAACTAAAGGCAAATCTATTTTTAAATGCAAAAAAGAAAAATTGTGTTTGCGATCATAAACTGCAAGAATAAAAATCTGCACATTCCATGGCCGATCATGCAGTATACGCACCAAACAAACAGGCCTATCGATTACTATAAAGATTTAGAATTTCATTTGAGTTTACTCGTAATCGATAACTGCAAAACGGCCCCAGCTTCTGGAAGATAACTTGTCAATTACCCGCCGCTTGACGACATAGGTGCACTAATCGGTGGCTATCTTGCCTTAAGAAAATCGCCCCGACTTTTCAAAGGCCTTTGACATATTTCAAGCACGAATGATCAATTTAGGCAAGACAAGTAAGAACATCACGATCGGGCAAGGCTATACTTTAGATACCCTGCAGTTGATAACATACCAAAAATTACCCATTATTTTCATGCGAAGACGTACTTTTCATGGAAAAGCCCGCCTTTTGGAGGAAGCCTAAAACATCACGTCGTGTGATTAAAATTTGGCAAACTTAATTTACTTTCTTAAAATTACGATAACCCCTACATATGTTAGAGTCGAAAAAATAGACTCGCGTGAACCAAATTCCCTACCCTTAAATTAAATCTTTTTCTGAAGGAGTTATTTATTATTCATTAGAAACCTTGTATGGGAAGGGGTCCCAGATTCAGTTTTCGTAGGAAAGGTTGCATGAGAGGGTGTTCAAAAAATTCCTCCAGCCCAACTGAACTTTTCATACTAATTTAGAATGTCGAAGGATTATTACTCACCGCGTTTTGTCGAAAAATTTTGAAAACTGAAATTTCTTTCCCTATAACGACTTTTCGACATAAACCATTTGCAAAAGCGTTCACCTTTCGGTCAAGACATGTCAGTGCACCAAATTTCATAAAAATATCTCAAAAATTGCTATCTGTACGTTGAACAAACGCTGAATGGACAGGCGGAGCGACAAGCTTAGAAACACTTGTTAATCGATCGATGTAATAAAAAGTGGATCCATCTTAAGGTTTTTCTTACGTACGCACAAACTTAATATACCCTCTACCACAAGCGGTGTTGGGTATTATTAATTTCTGTGTCAGCAAAACTTGAGAATATATGACAGTTTAATCCCTATACAACTTGATTATCGGTTATGGTGTCTGCACCAGGGGTGGGTAGATTTTTTTATCAATGGGCCAATTTTAATTTTCATGTCACTAGGGGGGCCAAGACTGAGTCCGATAGCGAAGGCAGACACAATCCATTGGGACGTGAGAGCGAATTGAATTTTTGAGAAGTCTTAAACGTAGCGGGCCGGATTCGACGACATCACGGGCCGAACGCTGCCCGTAGGCGGCTGTTGACCACGCCTTGTCAAAGCGAACTCTTTAGTGTTGCTGCTAGCATCCGTAACAACATCACAGAAGAGAATCTCAAATCCTCCAGAAATTCTCTGATCAAGATCATCTCTCGATTTTACCAGAAAAGATAATATTTTCTAAACTTTTAACTAAACTAATCCGAAGCCAGAAAAAGGTTGAAAGTATATATAGTGCGTAACTTGTTATCGGGCATTGTAAACAGAATGTACTTGTAGATACTTGCAATTATTCATTGCCTTTGAAACATCTATCCAACATATTCGGTCTTTCGTTTCCTTTTAAATCAATTCATTAAGGCATCAAATTAATTTCTTTTTTTTTTTTTGTTTTTGTTAAACTATTTTCACCATCATTTTAGTTTTGTTTTTTTTTTTTAACTTTTCTTAAGGTTTCTTGAAGTGATGAATATTCAAATAAATATTTGTGCGGAAGTTTTTATATGGCATGCATTTTAAAAACTATTTTACTTTATTTAAAAGTGAGACAAAAGACCTTCAGCTCGAAATGATGATTAATTCAACAATTTCATAAAATTTCATTTCATTTCATTTTCTTTTTATCTCCGCAACAAATCTTTATTTCATTTGCATCTTTTTAAACAAGATTTTCTAAATTATTTCATAAACATTTAATGCTGAGCAACTGGATAAGTCAAAGTCGAGCGTAGACGAAACTTTAGTACACCTCCACACTGTTTGACGGCTTAATAACTTTAAATAACAAAGAAAAGAAAAAAAAACTGTACATGGTCACACACGCACAAACCTGCAATCATCTATGTTTATATTTTGGGGAAATTAGCCTCAAGTCGACTCAAAACAAGTCGGTCTTCCAAATGTTATCGAAAGTCTCGAAAATTGCGATCAGTAGGTGGAACAAAATATAATCAGAAGGACAGACAGGCTTGTGACGGTCCCTCCTAGTGTTCCATAGATCCGCACAGACTTAATAGAGAGCACAAAATCACGTTCGCTCAAAGGAACGTGTACTTGAAGCATCGAAAGAAGAAGTCAAGAACCTCCGCAAAAAATTTTCGTACCATTCACAACGCCTATATCGGCAACTTTGACTCGCCCCAGAGATACCCAAAAGCGAAACGGTTAGATTCTTAAGGGAGACAAGCGCGTGTCAAACAATATCGATGTTGTTAAACATCACCTTGCTTGTAAGCGTCTCTGCGCGAACTATTCTCCGGAACTAAAAAAGGACCTGTTCCCAGTCACGTCTTTTAAGGGCTCTACTCAAAATTGTCATCCTCAGTTTGTTGTTGTCGTTGCCTTCATGCCGCACAACAAACTTGTGACTCGTCATTCTTTCGCCGCAATGCCTACTTTTGGAACAACCCACACACCTGAACTCGTACCTCGCGCTCTTCGGGATGTTTCAACTTGAAACTCTATCATACATAAACGCGATTTCCAGTTTCCTTGCCCTTTTAGTTGTAGCCATTTCCAAGTTCGCCATCGTTTGTACGTGTATGGAAACCAACTTAAAGTGTCTCGTCGTTTATAAAAGAAAGACGACTAACGTTCTCGACCCAAGGCTTCTTAAAGAAAAAGTCACATCTATTGCAATATTTTGTAATCGATCTTTTTATTGAGAAATAGTTTTGACAGATTTTTATTTTTTTTTTGTTTTTTGTTTTTTGAATTAAATAAAATTTGTCTATAATTAAATTTGTTTTCTTTAGAGGTTTACATTAATTTGGATGTAATTGTACAGTAAACGAATATTTAGCGAATAAAACCATATAATTTACATATATAGATCTCACTTGTATATACACATATGCGTACATATGTACCATACATGAGAAAAGGAAAAGGGCACTTAAAAATAAAAAAAGTTATTAAACAAATTATAAAAAAAAAAAATTTACAACAACTCAAGGAGTGAAAAATTTTGTACAAAGAAAAAGGAAACAAATAGATAAAAAAAAAAAAATAAATAAAATTTGAAAAAAAATAAAATGGTTTGTTTGGAAAAGTTCTTTCAATTTTGTGTTTGCGTCTCTATGTGTGTGTGTGTGTGTGTTTTGTATGTTAAATATTTTTAGAAAATATCTACAATGTTTTCTTTGTTTTTATTTTAAACAAGTATAGTGGAAACAAGTTTTACCAACCAGTCGATATTTGTATGTATTTACATATGCTTTTTGGTTTTATTTTTTTTTATTTATTTATTTTTTTTGTTTTCTGTAGATAAATTTAGAAGCGAGTAGAATTGAATTATAGCAAAAAAAAAGAGAAGAAAAAATGAGGATAGGGAAAAAACAAACGTAAAATTAGATTAAAATAACTTAAAAAAAAAAAAAAAAAAAACTTATTGATTAGGGGCTTTATAACCATCTCCATCCAATGCCTTTGAAAATTTGAAATAAAGAAAAAGCCTCACACAGGAATGCACAAGAAATGTAATTTAAAACATAAAAACTATATAAACCATTTACTGATTAATATAAAGGTATATGTTTTTTTTTTTTTTTTTTGTTTTTTTATCATGTATGTATGCGAGAGAGGAAGAAGAAATTTATTAAGAAATATTATTTAAAATTTTGATCGAAAAGAAGGAATCAAGACAAATAGCTAGAGCAAGATGGAAAGAGAGTATGTGAGCCAAGAATGATGATCAGAAGGAGAAGAAAGAAAATAATAATCATAACCGAAGTCATTAGAAAGTGTTGGTGAATATTTCAAGAACAGAGAAAAGGAGGAAATTTGTACTAAGAACGAGAGAGAGAGAGAGAGAGAGAACTGATCGACGGAGTTCTGAATGAGTTCGGTTTTTTTTTTCTTCTTTTAACTCCTCAACTCTGTCTATGGGAGAGGTTTATTTAATTAATTCCATTTATTTTTTGTTTTATTTTTTTTTTTTTTTTTTTTTTAGTTTTTCCTTTATTCAAATATTGACGACAACAGACGGGAGGAAAGAGAGTTGAGCTTGATTTCAAAAAATTCATTTTTAATCAGTCTTACTAAAAAAATTCTTGTTTTTGTTTTTCGTTTTGTTTATAGAAATAAGAAAAAAATATTTTTTTATTTGCAAACTCACAGTAACGGTCTTTCCTTTCAGTTAGTTGAAAAAGAAAAAAAAAGAAGCTCTGCAAATATTTCTTATTAAAAATAATTTAAAATCTAGAAATGATTTTTCTAGTGATTGGATAATTTTTTCACATCATCTACACACCGGGTTTTTAGTTAATTTAATTAATTGTTTGGTTTTCTCTTGGTATTGAATATTTTTTTGCATAATATTTTTTTTTCGTTTCTGATGGTTGTTTTTGCTGTTTTCTGTACACATTTTTTTTCTTTTTTACATTTGAACTACAATTTATAGATAAATATACTATTCACATGTTTTGTTGTTGTTGTTGCTGTTATTGTTGTTGTTAATGTTGTTGCAATTTTCTATTAGATAACCAAAATTTTTTTGTCATGTCTGCAAGCACACATACAAACATACATACATACATACGTACTATTTACTATTACCTATTACAATAACTAAACTAGAACCGTTACAGAAGAAGCGTCCCCGATCTGCTTAGCAGCTCCTTTTTTTTTCGTTTTTTGTATTTTTGTTTTCTTAAATCCCTATCCCCGCTTTTACGTTATATAAGAATATTTCTTTGTATTGTTTTGTTGTATGTAGAGGTTGACGGGTAGGCGTATAATTTCTCTAGGAAAAGAAACCCTACACAGTGCCACCAATATCACTTTGGTATCGGGCTGCTAGATAATTGGCTGCTTCTGTCATTTGCTCCAAGCATTTATATAAGCCATTCAAATGTCTTCGGCAGCGTTTGGCCAATTCAGTAGCTTTATCTACATTGGCTAATTTTTTGGTTTCTACATCGCCATCCTCACTGCCGCTCGTCGAATCGGCGCTACCAGCATTTTTATGACTCTCTGATTCAACACCAGAATCATTTTCATTCGAAATATCACTTTCCGAATCGCTCAGTTGACTGACCGAAGCTATCGATGCCGTCGAAGCGGTTGATGGGCGCCTAATATGACCTTTTACCGCAACCACTCCCCCACTATTGTTACTATTATTATTAGTATTGCTATTAGCTACAGCTATGTTACCGTTAGCGGGCGGGTGTGAGCTGCTAGCGTTATCAGTCTTACCATCTATTGGTTCGTTAATGACCACAATCTCTCGATTTAATTCATTCACATTAATTTCTTCATCATCGTCATTTTCATCTTTACCGGTCCACAATAAATCATTTTTCAGAGCATTCAACATGTTATACAAATTGAAAAGTTCCGATGAATGTAGGAATTCATGTACATTTTTTGAATTGACAGTGCTACGTTTCGGTGCATGTTGAGTATGCTGATTGGAAGTGACATCTTTACCAGAGGCTGGCATAATATCAGTAGTATCACCCACCTTCACCCATACGAATAATACAAATATAAAATGAGAAAGAATATTTTTAAAATTATTCTCAAGTAGCTGCTTAAGAGAGAACTCTCCCGATTTTTGATACATTGTTCACTTGCAATTGACTTGAAATTATTTTCTCTCTAAAACTAAAATTCCTTTCTCATAAGAATTCAACTCGAAATTGAGACCTGTTAAAGCACTTTACTCGAGCAAGATCAACTATTATAATAAGTACTCTTTAACACCAGTAGTTTGCACACGTTTGGCTGCCGACTTTATTCCACTTTACACTTTGCCGCCATAAAAGGGCTTGGCTTCATAAGCATCCCTAAAAAAACAAACCCATGTAATCCATGTCGGCTTTTTTATCATGGGAAATTTCAGTTATCTTATTGCCCTATTTGATCCAAAGTTTTCACAAAAATTTAGAATGCCGAAGTACTATTGCTAAACGATTTTTCTTACGTGGTCCTAAGTATTGCACTATTTTTTCATATGACTACTTACTACAATAAGGGGGCCCCCGACCGCATCCACCGAAAGACTCAGACACTCATGGGCGATAAAAGTGTGTCCTACACACTCGAATCCCTTGAGCATATTTGTAATCTGACCTATGTTGCGTTTGTGAGTAGAGGCATTCAGGGCAAGTGTTCTACAGAGATAAAAGGAATTTGTCCGCCATTTAAGCCATTTAGCAAGACTACAAGGTTTTCTCGATTTTCTCACTGCCCGCGTTTGGAGCAACTTACTAACAGTGGTTTTTATACCGTACCTCCACTTTCAAGTCAAACGTTCACAAACATTACTCCCTTCTTTTCGGCACCCCTTCTTTATCTTCCTATAACCCTTCCCGATCACCATCTTGCCCGCATGTATAAGGGACATCTCCTAAATAGTTGCTCATAAAAAAAGTCAAAAGCCAAAGTGAGACAAGCGACAAAAGATGAGTAGGAGGAGGGATTTTTCCTTTCAAATGCATTACTTTAACTAATAGGCATAACTTTTAACGAAAATTATTACTCTCCGAAAATTAAAATGAGAGCCCTTGCTTTACTGAACTCTCCTCATAGTCATTTTTGCAGTTCCAGTGTAAGAGAGAGATATTTGAGACTTAAATGATATATAAAATTTCCAACGCTTACCTGCCGATCCATAAGCCTGCATGGTACGAGTATGGTATCATCCATAATATTGACAGTTTTTACAAATTTCTCCATAACATTGACAATGCTGTCTTTTGAGAACTGTGGCTCGTCATGGCGAGCTATGCGTCTCAAGCAGTTTCTGAAAGAAGCAAAACGAAATTTAGTTATCAGCATTATTTTTTAATCTAAGTTCTTAATATCTAAACAAGGCAGGCCGCCATGCCCAAGTCTTTAACTTTGTTCTCCGTATGGAAAAAGTTTTTATAATTTTAGATTTTAGTAAAGCCGGCAAACTCTTGTGTTTCCTAACCGATCCTTTAAACCGGTAAACTATTTCTGAAAAACGCTTAGCTTTCTTCTAAAATATGATAATAAAAAATGATCATATACCTAGACATGTGCGGTTTTCAAAATTTACATAAGAAATTATTTATAGTAAAAAAAAAAAAACAAACAAAACTCGTTTGAAACATTAACGGCAGATTTAAAAAATTGCTTTTAATATCAAAGTCAAAAAAAATTTGTTTTTTTTCTTTTGTTAAACCGAAGCTTTATATACAAAGTCTCAACTTTTTTTCTGCTTACTTTGATAGAAACTATTTAAAAATTCCTAACCAGTACTAGGTACTGAATGCGACGGTGCGACTACTTAAAGAGGTGACAGTTAAGTTATCGCCAATTTGGAGAAAAACGAAAACAAAAAGAAAAAACGACATTTATTTACTTTATACAAGGAGCCCCTTCTCGAGCAATGGCTTAAGCATTGAAACTCAACACAAAGTAAAATTTGAAAAAAAAAAATTTTATTTCAAAGCACGACTAATACGTTTTTTTTTTCTTTCGCAAAACCACATAGTGAAGGTGTGCGGTTAACATTATATATATATATATATATATATATGTCACATTACAATGTGTGTTTAAGGGCCAAGTTCAAAAACAGGTAAGTGTTGTTGCTAACAACAACAACAATGTTATGCACCGTTATTTAAGCGACAATATCCTTAAATTATTCGAAGCGGCGAAACGCGTGGAATTGTTTAATTTTTTTCTATCTTTTCTTCAGCTATGTTGGCATTGATTTTGAAAACTGTATTTTGTAATTGCTGACCTTGGCAAACAGAAAAGTTTAAAAAGTCAAAGTGATGCAATTACTTTGGCAATAAGTGATAAAAAACCTACAACAGCCGAAACATTTACGTGTAACAACCGGCGACAAAATGTAATAGAAAAAGCATTGAAATGTAGTAACGAAATAAGGACAGATATGATGAGAACATGAGTGCGAATGCGTTATATGGAAACACTTCTCATCCTTTATGTAAATACTTCTGGCCCCTAAAAGTAATGAGACTGTATTTTTTCAAAATATGATGAGTTATTTCATGATAAGTGTTTATCAAGATTACAATTGAAGGGTGATTTGAGTTTGTCTGCCTTGTGTTCGTGTCTTGTTCCAAAAGCTACAAATTTGTTTGAAAAAGAACGTCGTGCTGGAAGTGTCAAAAGAAACGCTTCCTATGATTGGCGATGTGCTAAAACAGGGATGGCCAACTCTTTTCATCGACGAGCCAATTTTGAATTTTACGTCACAGCGGGAACCATAGCAAAGCCCAACTATTATCAGAAATGCGGCATTTGGCATCAATTCTCCTTGTCTTTAGGTCGTTGATTGTATAATTTAATGAGCAAAGAAGAAAAAGAAGAAAATATTTCATATTTTATAACTGCTTAGCAGAACTGATCGTGAAAGCAGATACAATCCATTTGCAACCCTGCTACGCCCGAGCAAACTGAGATTTTTGAAACTTTAAGAACTCAAGGGCCAGCTATTGCCCAAGCTCTGATCTGATATGTATAATCTGAAATTATAATAATTATTACTGGCGATAAACGTTGGATTTAATCTTATGACCTGGAAATAGTTGAACAGTCTAGTAAGTATTGTGCTCCAGTGCGCCTAAAAGAAGCAAAAACCCTGCTATTACTAACTGCTTTCGCATATTGGAATGTTAGCACTTATCTATGTTGAGGTCAAAAAAAGAATAGGCCTATGTGATCCCTATTCCCTATCGCTAATTTTTTTGTTGAAACGCTATTAGGAATTAATTTTCATCATAAAACATTAAAAATTAAGTCTTTTCCCGAACGGCTAGCTATTCATAAGACATTTTATATAGAGCGGGGCCAAGAAATAGACCCATACTGTTCAAACTAGGTCCACTTGCTTTTTTTATTTAATTACTGCCAGGACCACGTTTTCATTCCAAAAAATTAACAATTAGTTTTTTTTGGCATGTAAAGCGTTACGTTTCATGAGACTCTTTATATGCCTTAGTAACCAAAAAGTAGACCTACGTGGTTCAACTTCACTAAAGCAGTTTTCTTTGTCAATATACTGTTATTGTCCAATTTTTTCCTATGAAATATTGGAAATTCGCCTCCTTAGCATATAAAGCTTGAGTTTCCGTAAGAATGGTTATATATATATTGCCAACGCCGGTCCAAAAAAGTTTGCATATCAATTTGTATGTCGAAATACTACTACCAGCCACTTTTGCCGAGAAGTTTTGAAAATTGCAGTCTCTTCCCATATATCGACTTTTCAAAATAGGGCGTTATATGGAAGCCGGCCGAAGAGATGGTCCGATTCGATCTATTTTCAGTAGCATTCATCCTTGCGCCAAAACAGGCCGTGAAGGTAGGAAATTTCATCAAAAAATCTCAAAAGTTGCGACCTTTACACAAGATTGACCTTTGCTTGTGACCTTTGAAAACAGGGCGGGCAGACGGACATACTTACTTACATAATATATATGGTCAAGTCTTTTTGGGTGTAGCATAAGTCCCCTCAAATTTAATATACCACTGTACTATTTTAATACACTCTAATGTGGTGTGTGTACAATTAGTTGATCGGCAGACGGTATTTTCTTTATTTTTTATGCTTCCTTCTGCTACTGTAAATGAAAGAATTGAAAAGAAAAATATAAATGAAGTAAAAAAGAAAGCAAGTTTTCGCAAACAATTTCATTATGCTCGCGCATCGGTAAAGGAACTTTGCCAGCAGCATATGCTTCGCACTTTAAAGATAACAAATAATTATGTGATTTTACGCTTCAATGACATCGTAATTATTATCATCAGCAAAATTTTTATTTCGCACTTTTTTTAATAGCGATTCGGAGGCAACATAGGCAGGCATAAGCGAGTCCTCAGTTATTGCTTCTTACCCCATTCAGTGCTAAGGAGCACAAGGTTCTGGGACGTAATATCTAAAGACGCAATTAAGTTACAGGATTTATTGATTAAAGTATTGTTATAGCTACGCTTGTTTTGTCCCGAAAATCTTGAAAATCTTGAAAATTTATAGGAAATTGTTTAAAGCATATACTATTGCGTGATCAATAAGTTCTCTTCGAAATATTATTGCAATGAGTAATGAGTCGTTTGCATGAAGCTATTTGCCAGGATTATGGCGAATGTGTGCTACATGTACAAGTGTGCATATAGAGCATAAAAATATATTTAAACTATAAACAGGACGAATAATATTTTAAGTTTTTCCAGCATTCTCATGAGCAACTGAGGATCACATGGTGGTATGATTCGTTATAAAAGCAGATGTATTAAGTTTACGGATAAAGGATCATCCTGAACGCGTTTGAGCGCCGATGCATTCATTATTTTGCAACCGTTTTGTGTAAAGGCAACGTGTAAACGTTTTATCAAAAAAGCACAAATGCGGCGGCGCGTCACAAGCCAATTGTGGCAATGGCAACTTCCACGACCCGAAGTTCGTCACCGCTTAACCTTTCCTCCAAATCGAGGTGCCAGCGACTACTATCCGTTTGCGACTTTCAAAGTGTTATTCCAGCGAAAATAATCGGATCAAATGTTGAGCGCATCAGGAAAACTGAAGTGTGTTTTGATCTTTGATAAATAAAACCTTTTACACAAAACGGAGTCACTCTGAAAGTTACTGTTTGTCTTGACGAATAAAGTTGAATTTTGGGAAAAAATTACTTTTTTTTCCTTACTTAACCCGGGAAATTATCGACCATACACCTGTCAATCAATTATCCCGTTTGTTCGATTGACAAGAGCTTACATTCCTTATCTTATCGTTTATTTGTATAATGCTACCTACTATCATTAAAAGGGATATTTTAGTTTTAATTAAAACAAATTCTCTATTATCTTGAGAACAAAAAAAAAAGGAGAAGAAGAAGTAGAAAGAAACAAAATCTTATGCTTTCTATTCAAGCGAATCGTACGAGTTGGATTGAGTAAACAGAATGGGGTCTGATTGGTGAAGAGGAACTTGCTAATCATGCTACTTATGTGTCTTCTTTATGCACGCTAGGGCATTCTTGTTCTTGTTCAGGTGTGTATGCGCAACCATCAAAAAAAGAAATAAGAACATTAGAGCTGGGCAGGGTCGACCATCAGATACATTGCATCACTTCGTCTTTTTTCGGCTCTTTCGTCCTGTGAAGAGGTAGCCTTCTCCAGAAACTTCCACGAGAAGGCGTCCAAAAATAGTCGTACATGATACAAATTTGCCGCTATCGATTTTTACTTTAAACTATTATTGTGAACTGATTCTCATTGCAACATAAGACCATTTTGCTATACGCAGACTTTCATTTCGTAGAAATTGTTAGTTTTACGAAATATTTTAAAACATCGACCCTTACGTTAACTTAGGTCGAGCTCGGCGTCGTATATCATTTTGAATTTATACCCCATGCAATAATAGGTTCCGTACTACTTTCAAAATCTAACAATAGCTAACAAAGTACAAAAAGGTTCCACGCCTAACGCCCCTATGATAGTCAACTCATTCGATTATGAGAGTAATTTCCAAAGTCTCGCAAATCCAAGATGAAAATCCGAGGATTAATATAGTTTGAGAAAGTTTTGTAAATGCTCTTCAGCTGACTTAAAAATAGTAAAATAGTAGAAGCATCTCTAGAAGAAAAAGAAAAACAAGAAGGATGGGGAAATAATTCCATGACGAGACTGTCGTGTGACCTGTCATCAGTTTCATTGCCGCCACGAATATTTTTTTCGATCCCTTCAGCAGAACGCATCATGAACACTTTTGATAATTCACTTAATATAATTTTAATTTCA